TGCTGGCTGGGGAATTCTGGGAGTTGAAGTCCACACCGCTTAAAGTGGCCAAGGTTGAGAAACACTGGTATAGGCGCTCAACAGTTGGACAGCACTAAGAGACCCACAAGCTACATCAGCCCTACAAGGCAGCCTGGTCTTGCTACCCCAACCCTGCAAAATTCCCCGGGTCGATTATCCGTATCTGCATTGGGTGCGTCTCTCTCTGTGCGTGCACACCGACACCTGCATACGCATTTATCAGAAATGCAGCAGCGGGGGACGAGTTTTAGCAATGAAATTTATCAAGAAGAGACTTGTGGTGGATGTATGTACAGCAATGAGCAAGGCTGGTGCCCTCTTTGTTTCATCTCTCCGTTTGAACTGTTTCCTTCAAGTGCTCAGAAATGCACCAAACCAGGATAGAGAGATGTTCTGGAGACACCTAGATCTCTTCTAGATGCTGCAAGAAGAAAGCCATGTTAAATTAGGGCAGCCAAACCTCAGCGATAGCCCCTTTTAAGAGTAACACATTTACAAACATGCGTACCTTTAAGAAAACTCTTGCCTTAAAATAAATTTCTTAGTCTTAAAAGGTGCGCTTTCTGATTTTTAGATCTCTTTTTTATTACTCGGAGAATTGAATCTAGGGGACAGGGAAAAGATTCAGTTTTTAATTGATATTCTACCTGTTTACCTTTTTCTCCAGCACAGCGGTTAAGAGAGATGTGAATAACTGAAACGCTGACCATACACTGCCACTAATACAGAGAATTCAATCCAGCCCAGTAGAGAAGTCGATTTAAAGTCTGAATATGGATGCGTTTACTTTCGCATAGAAAGCAACGGGGCTCAATCCCTTATCCCTTTTCCAGAAAAATCATGCAGCTTCACCAGGATGAAGAAAGGAGCCTCACCAAAAATATTCGACGTATTCTTAAGACAGCTGTTTGCATTTTGGCCAGGGAATACGACACAAAGCAAGTAGAAAAACAGTCAGGTGGGTTAAAGCGCTGGGGTTTTGCCCAGAAACAAAAATCACACCCTTATATTGCAAGTTCAGGAAAATTCCTGCTGACATGGTCAATATTCACTTGGCGCTGTCTGCGAGCTCCGTTCCTTAAGTTAAAGCCAGCAGGCCTTCTCTTAAGCAGAGGGAGCGCGTGGGCTCGGAGAGGGAATATGGAAAGCAGGAACGCTTCTGCAATTCAGCTTTTTGCCATCAGGATGTTCACGGATTTCCTTCTGAAAAATTCAGATATTTCACAGGCATTTTGCCTCCCCGGAGAAGCCAGCCCTATGAGTCCACAGCTCAAATATTACTCCGCTTCCTGGCGTCTTTGGGCCATTTCCATCCCGGGTCCACTATTAAAATAAAACTGAGATGGAATGTTTGGAGAAGCGATCGAAAGCTCACCAGAGAAACAGAAAGGAGGAAAAAGTGACTAACTCCAGCCTATTCATACAAGAAAAGAAATAAAAAACGGGGAAGGTATTAAGGCTTCATGGAATGCAAAGTTAAGAATTTCATTGTGCAATATGTAGTTAATATGAGACTCCATAATGAGACTGCAATGGGTCAGAATCCATTCTTTTTTTATGAATTCATCATGAAGGATAAAGAGAACTCGGTTATTCGTCGGGCACCAAATACTGGGGAAATGGATGGTGGTCACCGTCAGGTTTAAGCACTTCAGTGGGATTTAGATAGCTAATCATGGGGTGAAGTATTTGGATCCAAAGCAGACAACGTGGCTTCTGATCCGGCACAAAGCCCCTATGCCCACTTTGGATCTAAATTCTGCAGATGTCTAACAATTGGTGCATCATGCTGTGTTTTTGTTTATTTGCTTGTTTATTTATTTATTTAATAAATGTATATGGCCGTCCATCTCGCTGAACGTGGCTCTGGGTGGGGTACAACCAACACTTAAAACAATGCCATAGCTGTTTAAAAAAAAACCCTTAAAAATATAAATAAAAGCAGGATTGAGGGAGAAGAGCATCCATCAAAACACAATGTAAGCATTGCGCAGGCTCCCCGCGGGGTCCCCAAGGCTGCTGCAGAAGCCACGTTTTCAGGGGCTTCTGAAAGGCTAACAAGGATGGGGCCGACCTCACCTTGGGAGGGGATGATCTTCCAGAGGGTGGGAGCCACAGCTGAAAAGGCAAGCCGTCTGGGTCCCGTCAGATCAAACTCTTTAGCAGACGGGACCCGCAGCATACCCCTCCTGCTGGGCCTGACGGGACGGGTAGGAGTAATCGGGAAGAGGAGGTCCCTCAAACAGCCTGGCCCCATGCCGTGCAGGGCTTTAGGGTCGACGTTTCTGGATACTCTTCAAGGGCAGCCCCAGGTAGAACACATTACAGAGATCCACAGGACGAGACATTCACCGCATTGTTTAATTCGCCAGGGGTGGAGATATATAACTGAAGATCATCAGCACGCTGATGATCCCTCACCCCATGGCAACGGATGACCTCACCCGGCGGCTTCCTACAGATATTAAATAGGAGTAGAGAGCGTACCAAACCGTGCAGCACCCCACATAGTAGGGGCCAGGGGCAGGACCTCTCACTCCCCATCAACACTGACTGATACCGGCCTGTAGGAAGGAAGAGGACCAGCCCAATACTGTGCCGCCCACTCCCAACCCACGGAGCCAGTCCAGAAGGATACCACAGTTGATGGTACTGAAGGCCAAGACGTTCAGCTCCGCCCCTGATGCCCCCAAGGCCCCTACACCCCCCACCCCATGCCTTTCAGTTCCAAAACAGAGGATCCCCACATCTCACCACAAACAACCACCCACCACCTCCCGGGCAGAGAGACTGGGTCCCCTGGGCACTTCAGCACAAGCTCTCAGCGCCGCAGGGAGACCCCAAAGCTCACTCTTCTCTACAAATACTCAGCAATGTCCTCCCCCCACCAGCCACACTCGCCAGGCTAGCTTAACACCTTCCACACCAACACCCCAATTCCCCTCACGGCTCTCACCGGGGAGGCAGCCAAAACAACCCAGCATCCAAAGCACAGCTCCACCAACCGTCACCACATCGTCCACTAGGCAGCTTCCGTACACAAGAGGAACGACCAAAAGCTGGTCGCCATGCTCTCCTTTTTGACCTGTGCCGCGAAGAAGGCAAAATGGCTGCCATAGGAAGAGAGTCCACAGCAGTTCCCAAGCACCCGCTTTCCTCGGCCACCACTCCCTCCCAACATAGCCAAGCACCCTCTCCAACCGAGAGGCAACAAAGTGATCCTCCAAGTTCTGGGAAGCCCAACGCGGACTTTGTGGAAAATATCACGTCACACCACCCGTCCCTGATGTAAGCCGGGCAGATGTCATGCCCCTGACATCATCGCTGCTGCCATTGCCCTGGCACTGATATGCCTCCCAGAAAAACCCATTGGCGAAAAGGCCCCAGCGAGCAAAGCGCCCCTCTCACTGCCACCGCCACCTGGACCTCCAGCGATATCTGGTACCGCTTCGATGTCCACCTGTCAGCCAGAGCCACGTCCGTCCAGCAACTCTCCTCCAGAGCAGCCCGAGCACAGCTCCCACCAACAGTAGAAATTTGTGGGGGAAACGGCTCCACGCAGCTTTGTTCCCATGCAGCAAACAGCCTAAGGAGAGCGAAGGACGCGGTCCAGCTGACCCGGCTCCGGATCCAGCCCAGGGCAACCCAGTCCAGCCCGGCAGAACTGACCAGGTGGGTGCAGACGCCAACCAACCAATGTACTCCTCAACTCAGAAACATACAAAACCCTCTGTGACTTACAAAATGCCTTCTGTCGCATACAAATCCCTCCATTCATTTGGAGCCCACGTTACACGTCCACCGCTCTCACCGCCATCTTGCCACATGTAGTTGGTTGGTGTTAGATTAGGACCCTAGTTTACCAAACGCCACCTTGGTGCCAGCTAAACCTTCTTCTCAGCACAGCCCACTGAAGGACGTCCACGGAGGTGAAGCAGAAGCCAAACGCCAGAATAAACACAGTGGGGACAAGACGTGGCTATCTCAGTACTCACCAACACATCTGGTCCTCTCTTCGTTCAGGTGGTAGCCTCTTCCACAGTTCGGGATGTTCCTCTGGCAAGCAAACGAGCCATCTGTGTTGATGCAGGACTGCCCAGCAGGACAAGGAGCAGCAAGAGTCACACATTCATTAATATCTGCAAAAATGCAGCCATGGCATTGGAGGGGAGAGGTGGGGCAAGACAAAAGAGAGGAAAATCAATTCTTCAAAACATTGCGGAAAGCGCTACTTGCAAACGCAAAACACGTACAGTGGGGACAACGTCAGAAGTGGAGGGTACCTCACAAGCTATGGTCAAAAACTCAAAATGGCCATGGTCACAAAACTCCAGAGGGTGGCCACGGTGCTATAACTGAAGCTCCACCCATTTTTATGGGTGCTTCAGTTGCACCGGCACGGCCACCCTCTGGAGTTTTTTGACCAGAGCTTGAGGACACCCCTGGTAGTTGAAGCAGCAGAGCAGGTCAGCTGCACGTCTTACCAATACAGCTGCCGAGAGCATCTTGTATAAAGCCGATCTTACACTGTTGTTTGGGCCGGCAACGGAATGATCCAGGCGTATTCTGACAGATAAAATCGGGGAGGCAGTTATGAGTACCAGTCTCACACTCGTCAATATCTGGCACGTCACAAAAGAAAGAATGGGTTAGCACGAGGTCTCCCGGAGCCATCTTGTCATGACCGAGATAAAAGCAATTGTTACGCTGGACAGATCAAGCCTGTTTTGGGGCTACGCTGATAGTGTCGGATGGTACAACGGGTGCAGCCTCACACTCCTTAATTTAAGAGGAGTGGGGAAACAGACTCAATTCCAGCCGTAGAGCTAGATTAAAAATAACCCCCTCCCTTCTCCAGATTTTCTGCATCTCAAACTACAATTCTCAGGGGTTTTTGGGGGGTGGGGATTGGAGGGCAGGGGGAATCTATATACATCTTACTGTTCATTGACCTAAACTCAATTCCTGACTTGGAACCTATTTGGAAGTGATTTCTAGTGGAATGTGACTGCAATAAAGAAATAAATCTTTTGAAGTATGTGGAATTTGTCAACTTATTGAGAGTTATGGATTCTTGAGACAGAACTGAAATATATTCTACAGGATGGCAAAGATAAATCTGCATCTGTTTTGGCACAACAGATTCTTGATGCTTTTCCTCTGCACTCTGCAAATTTACTGTTATGATACGATGGCCTTTGAAACGCCTTATAATTAAGACTTGGATGTAGCTCTGTTGTTGTGCTGAACAGGGCCAATCTGCTAAATAATAGTCCTCCTTTAGAAAACCAGAGAGGAAATTATAACTCCCTCACAAAATATCAGTTTAAAATAATCCATATCTTGCTCTTTGAATGACATTAAATGTTTGGTGGGGAACCTGGCCTGGAATTTCTGTAAATAGTTATAAAGGGGTAAGGGTATTATTTCTAGAAAGCATGCATGGTTGGGGCGCTGCTTATTGCAAGGGGTTGTTATAATGACTGGCATTTCATCTTTCTGCTTAAAGTCTCCTGAGTCAACATTCTTCTGAAGACCAGAAGATCTCATCGCCAGCAGTTTCTCAACAACACTGCCTCTCTGCTTCAGATCAGTGGTGCAATATTGGTGTTCTTTCCAATGTTGCTGAGCCATAACTCTAAGCACCCATCACCATTCGCCATGCTGGCTGGGGTGACGCAAGTTGTAGCTGGCCATAACTCTTGATGGGGCAGGGCATGGATTTCACACTCCGACTAGACGCTCTGGGTCAGCAACCAGGACATTCCCATTTCTAACACAAGGGACCTCTTGGTTTTATGAATGGGGAGGAAGGCTACCCACTGATGGTTTCCTCCAGAGGGGAGGTAAAGATGGGCTCGCGGAAAAGTTTGGCAGGCATTTAACAGATGGGGAGGTTCAAGTAATACTGAGAAGAACCCAGAAAAGAGCCCATTTGGGGAGATGGGGCTTAAAGCAATTCGCTGAAATTTGGCCTGGGTGGGAACCAGGGCTGGGGGAAGGGTACATTTCAGGCAAAGCTGCCCACCCCCACTGAGGCTCTGCTACAGATTGTGCCACATGCCAAATCTTTGCTACAGACTCATGGCTCTTTGCAGCACCAAAGGAGTCAGTTGGTAAACACAGATGCTTCTGTTTCTCAGGAACCCCAGGACATCTGCAAGGGGATGTGCCCCCCAAAAAACCCCAAGAAGGCAGCCACAACCTTTTTAACCTCCCCTGTGGACACCCCTGGGAAGAAGATCTGCAGACAAGCTTCTGCCTTAACAAGAATCACTGCAAACATGAGTGTACATCGGGCAAACATCGTGCAGACCTAACGCTGTCACATTCAAGAGAGCAAAAACGGTTCATCATCTAGAACCATTCTGCATTTGGTAAATCTCTGCCGTTTCCAGGCAAAACATACCTTTGCAGAGATTGTGCTCCGTCAACTCATAACCGGTCCCACAACTCGTCTCCCGCTGGCAACGGAAAGAGCCCACAGTATTGACACAGACCTGCCCGATGCTGCAGGCACTGACTGAGGTGATGCACTCATTAATATCTACAAAGAATGAAGATGAAAAGCTCTGAAATTGCCATTTTTGTGGTAGCGTCCCATTTTCTGTACAACAGACCTAAAAACCGTTGTCGGTATTGATCAGCATCTATGAGTTGGTTCTCAGGGTGGTAAACACTTTAGAAATCCTTGTTATATGAGAAAGAAATCCGAGTTAAAGAAAACTAGGCAGAAGATAAAATTACTCTGTTTAAAGTAATAATTGAGAAAGTTGGGTTAAACTAGAGCAGTGTTTTTCAAACGTGGCAACTTTAAGATGCGTGGACTTCAACTCCCAGAATTCCCCAGCCA